GCTGTTGCTTCCTCAAGGCCAGCGTTGGTACGAGAATGTGGCCACACACACCTCCATAGACAGGGTGACACCTCTCCTCTCGCCTGACGGTCCTCTCCACTCCTGTTGTAAACCAAAATAAAATTTACTTGAATTGACAACTCCTCCATGCACTCTACCTCACTCCTCTCACCTCTACTCCCCTCAATTCACTTGTACCTCTATACCCTCTCATCTCACTCCACTACCCTCCATGCATTCCACTACCATTCCCTTTCAACTCTATCCTCAATTGACTCCTACCCCTACCGTCTCATCTCACTGTACTCTCCACGCACTCTTTGCTCCAGCAGCTGAGTCTATCTATTGAGGCTCCCATTCAATCTTCACTCTGTGAGAAGTTGCTAATTTTGTATTGCTTTCCCCGTGGTCTGGAGCTCCCTTCACCCATACATCCGTGCTCTTGAGGCGTACGTGAATTTGCACTCCCTATTAACCAACAGTGACCAGACCATACAGCCACGCACACCCGCAAGGCCAATGCACACCCCCAGGCTGGTGTAGATGGGGGAGTCTGCACGCATCCACGTACGTTGAAGGCCCATGTTGTCCTCGTGCTCCCAGGATTCTTGTCTTCACTGGCACATTTCACTGGCACATTTCACTGGCACATCTACTGGACTGTGGAAAAGAGCTTTATAGCTAATTGGATTCCTCCAGTATAAATAAATATTCTGATTCGGTCATTTGCGAGCACCCTTGTCCTCATTCTGCTTTGCCCAGTTTATGTACTTGTACCGTTTATATACGTGTACATAAACAGTGTAGTTTATGTACACGTAGTCCTTTTGTCAATCCACTGCTGGATGAGGGGTGCCCACACGGTGTGGGTTATTTGACCATACTTCAACACATTGGTCAGTGTGGGTTGGTGATGTAGGGGAGCGTGGAAGTAGAATACAGTACAATGAATGTTGCCGCTCTGCCCTCTGCTGCCCGCCACTTTGCCCCGCAAGCCCAATGACAACCTGTTTTGTGGATGGTGATTACCCATCCAAGGATTATCCAGGCTCAACTCTGCTTAGCTTTAGAGAACTAATGACATTTGGGTGCATTCCAGGTGATTTGGTCCTAGGCCCAGTGGCAGCTCAATGCACTGCAATTTAGCATGCGGCTGTTTCGTGTGTCTTGTGGTTGTTGCTGCTGTATGCAGGTTTTGGAGGCAGCTGTTTCCAGAAGGACGTGCTCAATCTGGTCTACCTGTGTGAAGCACTCAACCTCCCAGAGGTGGCACGTTACTGGCAGCAGGTGAGTGCGTCACTCTACTCCTCGCTGGAAAAAAGCCCAATGTGCCACGCACATGAGCCTAGTGCCATTCCTTCCATAGCCTTACAATTCTGAAATGGTCGTTGACTCACCTTTGGTCCAGTTACACCTCGCGTGCTTCGGTTCTTGAGTGAACTCTATTCTTGCTTCATCCACCAGTATTGAGCAATAGGCTATAAGGTGTCCCCTTATCCGTGTCCTTCACCCGAAACAGGTGGCAGTCTGGTTAAATTGTTATTGACGTATTAGCACGATCTCCTGTTAGGTATAATTTGAAATTGCATTTCCTGTTTTAAACATTGGGTGGAGCAGTGGTGGAGTGGTGAGTGCACTGCGTCAAAGACCCGGCGATCCGAGATTGATTCGCAGCCACTATCATCAGCGAGGAGTGATATCTGAACTGATCTTGGGACTCCACTGTGTTGATCCACTTGCACTGTTGAGCTTATTGACATATAACCTAATAACCCCCATGGCCGACACAAGCCAGGGAGAACTTATTATTGAAGGGGAAAGGTGGTAAAGGCAAAGCAGCCCAGCTGGTAGAAGAGCCTCCATTCAAGAAAGATTGAGAGAGAGCACGCAACGTACTAATAGAATAACTGAGGTGTACCCATTTGTACTGCTAGGTGGAGAAAGGCAGGGGAATTTAAGCAACTCACCCATTGTTTCAACTCACCCATTGTGTCAACTGACCCATTGTTTCACTTCGAGTGTGCTAACCATTGCGCCACGGCAGCAGTTTGTAATTTTTATCAGAATATTTTAAGTTTAAACATGGGCATGTTTACACATTTGGAGTGAAAGGGACATGTGAACATAGTTGGTTTGCTCCGATGTGCTTTGTGCCTACTCATATCCCCTCCCTGCGTGCACTCGTTCTGCCGTGCTGCCTCAACCCGCCGGTTCTATGGCGGCTCAGGTCATCGAGATCAACGAGTATCAGCGACGGCGCTTCGCCACCAGGATCATCGGCTGCCTCTTCAACACGGTGACCGACAAGAAGATCGCTCTGCTCGGGTTCGCGTTCAAGAAGGACACGGGGGATACAAGGTAGGAACCGTGGGAAAAAAAGAAAAAAAACTTTAAAAAATCTCATTTGAATTAACGCTTTACAGAGGCCTTAATTTCGGTTAACTTGGCTTTGTGTTTACATTCTCATTGATTTGGATACACGATGCGCGTGTGGCTTTCGTGGGCGCAAATGTCCCACTCTTATCGGGGCATCGTGCCCATCAAGCGCTGTGCCATGTCCTCCGCGACAGGGAGTCCTCGAGCATCTACATCAGCAAGTACCTGATGGACGAGGGCGCACGTCTGCAGATCTACGACCCCAAAGTGAAGAAGGAGCAGATTGTGCAGGACCTCTCACAACCGGCCATCTCCGGCGATGAGCCTGAGAGAGGTGAGCCAAGGAATGGCTGCTCGCGCACCGTCCGACAGCAGGCTAGCGAACACGGCAAGAAGCGGAGGTCGTTTCATGATGCTGGGAGCTTGCTGACGGAGCATGCCGACTTCTTCTCGATGTGTCACGTGTGGTGATTGAAGCCGCCCTTTGTTTTCCCTTCCTCTGCCGTCAGTTTCGCAGCTGGTGACGATCGTGAGCGACCCGTACGAGGCGTGCGAGGGAGCTCACGCCATCGTCATCTGCACTGAGTGGGACCTGTTCAAGGTGAGCTTCATCTTGGGGCTCAGGCTCGCCGTTTACTCGGCGCCAGACCCCGACTGCCGCGCGCGTGTATACAGTGGGGCCGACGTGACTGCTGCTTTTACCGGCAGAATTGAAAGGGCTTGTGCTTGACATTGTCATGATCATCAGCAGCCAAGTGAGAAAAAAACGTGTTTTGACAAACATGGAACAGCTCAAATGAGACTGTATGAAGTAACAAACAACATATTCTTGATTCTTTCGGTAAAGTCACGTAGAAGGGAAATAAAAAAAATAAAACAATTATCACGTTTCGATTGCAACACAAACAAAATTTTCTTGCTGTGGTTTTCACATCTGATGATGATTGCTTGTGTTGCAGTCAAAACGTCGTGAGAATTTTATTGTTTTTATTATTTTTTTATTTCCCTTCTACGTGACTTTACCGACAGAACCAAGAATATGAATCCCTGCAGTCACGAAAGCTTTAAATCGAAATTTAACAAACAACATGTCAGGCAAGGAGATATTCGCCACGGTTATTCACGGGGATATTAGTTGTGCAGTAAATGTGACTTTCCAAAACATTGTATAGCACAGTTACTCTCGTGTGCGAGTGAAAAAGTTACCATCATCAGGAGCAGCCATTGTCTATCCACTGCTGGATTAATCCATCCAACTCCGGCTGGATGGATATACAGTACAGTAAAACAATTACTTTATATTGGTGATGAAACAGACCTATACTTGGATAAAAGTATAGATATTTAATGACTGCTGACAGTTATTTTCCTACATCTCTGATTAGCATGGTTGGCTATGTACGGTGCAAAGGAAGTTCAACAGTATATGTACTTACAAAGTGTATCACGCTAAATGTCCCTGTAATGTAACTACTGTTAAGGCCAGCAGCTGACTCAACGCCTGTAGTTAGTTACCTTTTGTCAGCATTAGCGACTCGAGGTTGCATTCGCTTCACTGCGACATCCATCCTGGCAGTTGCACCTGACTGAACGACATCCCCTTTTCTGTCGCTACTGCCCTCGTCAACGCGTGCTGTTAGGAGCTGGACTACGAGCGAATCTATGGGGGGATGCTGAAGCCAGCATTCCTGTTTGACGGCCGCCGTATCCTGGACACGCTGCACAACAAGCTGCAGCACATCGGCTTCCAGGTGCTACCATGATTCAAATTGTTTAAAATAATTACCGGTTAAACACTTGAAATGTTATATTCCTCCGAGCCATGTTGCGTCAATCGTTCGTTGGACAACTTTACCCAAATATGGTAAAGAAATCTCTGGACCTAAATGCAGCGGATGGTTGGAATTTCATCGTGAAAGCAACTTGGAAGTTTTGGAATATAGGGTTAGAAAGCGTTGTAAATGTAATCAGGAAAAATAGATTGTGATAGGCAGGACTAATTAAGAGGAAGGCAGGTCACCGAGATGGGCAGTGGAGTCTCACCCAGAGGTCAACGACCAAGGCAAAGAACTAAAGCCAGATGTCGGCGACGAAACTGAGCGCAGACCGTAGGGGTCTTGTGCCAACTGTGTAGCAGTTTCATGATCCGCCAGCATAAATTAAACTGCAGTGAGTCGTGGAGACATCATTGGCACTGGCCTTGATGACCGAGAATAAATGTTGGAAATGCGGCCTCGATATATTCGCTCCGAATGATGCGTGACACTTTCCACGTGTCGGAGCGAGCAGATCGAGACGATCGGGAAGCGCGTGGTGAAGAACGGGATCCCGTTCACGCCGAGCGCCGCCGACGTGAACGCGGAGCTGCAATCGCCTCCAGCGAAACGCGCCAAGGTCTGAGGAGGTTTGAGCCCGGGGGTCCGAGTCACACGACACACAGGCAGCACAGCTCCACCACCCCCAGCCCACGTTGCGCGTTCCCCACCGCACGAGCGAAGGGAAGAGACAAAATGTGCCGTGGTGCCCGAGACGTTGCCCGAATCCTACCACGCGCTTGGCGAAACGACAAAAACGTGGCATGTTTAATCATTCAAGAGATGAGTCCAACAACTGATAATGTATTGTAATGATCATACGAATGTTTTATTACCAATGTGAAATCCGCTCAAGAGGCACCTCGCGCTGTGGTTTAAACAGGACAATGATGTACCTACATAAAGCCTTGCGGATGCTCAACTGGATTCTTGACGGTCCATGCACCACTGCACATTTCAGTTCATTTAAATGTTGGATGTGTTTGGATTTGGCAGAGGCTTGGGTACAAATGTTTGTAGTTTTTTAGAGTGGTGTAGTAGTGTCCTGCCTTCACGACGCATTTGCACCAATCACAAGGCAGTTATTACTGCTGGCTGTACCTTGTTACATCAGATGTTTTGTCTTACAAGTGGTAGAATTTTGGTCGGTGGTCCAATGAGGCATTTCCTCCTTTCAAATGCTCGGGTTTGCCAGCACTCTATTCCAGTGTAATCTAAAGCCCTTTTGTCCTGGCTGTGATAAGTTGAAAGGCCATACCTAATGTGTGGCTAATCAAATGTCTTGGCCATATATGTTATACACACAGCTGAAATTCTAAGCTCACAGGCTGTGTCACCATAACACTTGAAGTTGAGTATTCCCAGGGGTGCGATGTGTATCATGTGTGCTGAAGGTTTACTTGAATGATTACGTATTTTGTACGTTTTAGTTCAGAGAGAAGTAGAGTTAATCTCTACCTATGGGCACAGTTCAACCTTGACATTAATCAGTGGTTTCATAGTTCATGGGTTCAGAGTTTAGCTGCAGAGGAACAAATAACTCCAAACATTCATACAATTGTGTGCTGTCTTTTCAACCTGCACAGTAATGAGCTCCGATTTTGAAAATGTTACAGAATGGTTTTAATTTAATTATAGTGGGAGCATTCATATACTGCAATAATTGCGTAAGAAAACTTTATTTTTCGATTTGTTTAAATTCATATTTTTGTATGTTTAGCACAGTTGTTACTTTAACACTATAATGGTATATTACATTGTCAAATCCTACACGTTTATTATCTTTATAATCATGGACCATTCTAAGCATTTAATAAGGAATATGCTGCAGTTGTTTTTGTAACAATAAAAAGCAATATTGTTTACGTTTTCGTTTATTTTGATCATAGACCAAGAGTCACGTTAATTCATTCAACAAATGCTAGTGCATTCAATCAAACATTCATTGACTTGCTGACAATTAATAATTGGCCTTACGCAAAAAAACTATTTAAAGCAATTACAATTCAGTTGCTTGACACAGCACGCAGTCAAAATGGTACATTTATACAAATTAACCCGCAGTGCTTCAACTAATTCTGTTAGCTTTCGAACAGTTTCCCATGCTTAGAAGTGATGTAACATATAATGTGTAGTGTTTTAGGCTCCAGTGCAATGTTTGCAGTTTATAAGCAAAAAGATGAAACCGACTTATTTCCACCCCTACCTTATACCACCTTTACAAAGCAAACAATGGATATCCTGCAACTCATAACCCTGAAATAATAAAGGGTGATGAAACATGCAAGTAGCTTTCATAAAAACAATAACGCAATCCCATTCACATGAAGATTACACTTAAATTATTTTTTCTATTTAATGATTATTCCGAGGATCAATTGCACCAATGGCTTACATTTGTCCTTGCCTACCCTCAAGAGCAGCTATACAATGGTGTTGTGTTGTAGGCACTGTCGTAAAGACGGCGAATTGCAATAATTTCCATCGGCAGCCTTCACATTTAAGCGCCTTCGCCACCCTGCATTAAGCACGATCGTCCACTTTCCTCTGCTGCAGTAGGTTCTTCAGAAAAAACTCACCTGTACATGAAACGCATTGGCACAAGGCGATGTCAGTGAAACGCGTTGGCACAAGGCAATGTCAGTGAAACGCATTGGCACAAGGCAATGTCAGTGAAACGCATCGGCACAAGGCAATGTCAGTGAAACGCGATCATATTTTCCGATCACGTGGGGCACCCACCAGCCTTGTAGGAGGACCGCACGAGTGGTCCGCTGGCCGTGTAAACGAAGCCCAGCTCCTTCCCCACACGCTCCCACTGCTGGAACTTCTCCGGGGTCACGTACTCCTCCACCTGGCACCCGCAAACAAACGGCCTGCACTGCAGAGGCGCTGAAAATATGGTCGCTCTGTGAAACACTGCTGCCGATTACTCCCCTTTGAGGCCCAATGGGGGGGTAATGCATGTGTTAAAGGGCTCATGTTAACTATATGGATGGATGTTGCGGTTTGGGCTCTATACTGGTCTCTGATTGAAATATAATAAAAATATTTTTTTAAACTATGGGGATGGATAGAGTTGGGGTTTGGAATAGGATTAATATTTCGCTGCAGGATTATTTTACACTACAGTGTATGGGCTGCACTCTGCCCAAACAATGGCATTGTCTGTGATGACCAAAAGGAAGGCAAGTGGAAAGGGCGATGTGGTCATTTCAGGTGCACCCCATTTAAGGTGAGCTATGTTCCCTTGTTTGGTTCAGCTTGTGCTACATCTTCTTTTCATTTAGGGACCCCAATGACTGTTTTTTTTTTAAACACGAATAACCTTTTATTCAATAGACCTTTGAATTATCCTCAAGACTCTTCTCAGAAGGGACTTAGTTTGAATTTTTGGTCAATGCTTTACTCAGTATTTTTGTATAGCATAGAGTAGTGGCACAGCTTGTTTTGTCATGTGATCTAGAGCGATTGTCTACTAGTTAATTGACATGCATGCGATATGTATTCTCTGATTGTTATTTGAAGTGACACTTGATGGTCTGCATATGAATAGTGGTGGAAGCCGGAAATAGCAAAAAGCTGGTCTGCTCGATAGAGACACATGCATGACTTGACTTTTGGATAAGCTCTCCCGAGAGCCATACCTTTAGGTGTCGTTTTGTGGGCTGCATGTACTGCCCAAGCGTCAGGCAGTCAACTCCAGCATCTCGGATTTCTGCCACAACAACATGTGGCACATGTAATGCCAAGAGGTAATGCATCACTGTCATAAAGTACATTTTCTCCGCTCACAATAATAGAAATATTGTTCAACTATGCTGCATGGTCAGGTGCTGATCCTTGCTGTGCCATGTTCTGCTTTGCTCTATTAAAGGAAGACGCAACCCATAAGCAGCCCTTATAGTTACGTACTCTGGCTGTGTGACATGGGATATTCGATAAAAGGCAAGATTTCATGGTGAGAAAATAAAAGATGTCCATAAATTACGGTTGTGTACTCTCCCATGGTACTCTAGCAAAAGCGATGCATTCACTAATGAAAACATATCCATGCAAAGTCAGTGACATTATGGATTCTAAAACTACACACATGTGATTTGAAGGGATTTTTTTTTCTCACCAACAAAGTTTCAAACCTGCATTGGCCAGTCCAGGACACAGCATTTCTATATATCTAAAAGATAAGAACTACTTGTTTTTTAGTTGCATTTTCCCTCCAGCCCCGACATGCCCCAAATGTGTCACATTTGTTTCACGGAAGTGCTCCGTCTGTCTGGTCGAGCTGCCCCACTCACCTTTCATGGTAGAAATCACCTGCTCGTCCGTCTCTCCGAGGCCCAGCATGATGGAGGTTTTGGTGAGCAGGCTCGGTTGCACTGCCTTAGCATGCCTCAGGACGCTCAGCGACTGGTCGATATTGGCGCGGGGGTCTCGTGCCTTCCTGTAAATGGTAAACATTACACAAGCAGAGAGCTCCAAAATTAAACTCTAGCAATGAGCTCACTTGTAAGTACAGGGTTATGTCAGACTTACTAAACAGTACAGAGGGGTCCTTTAAATCTCTAAAGAAACTGATACAAATGCAAGTCTTTATCATCCTCTCCAAAAACACGGATAAATGTAATTTATTTTACAGGAAAGCATTACCGAGTCTAAGGACCCTTTTCAGGAGGGTTCTGCAGTGGGACAATTGACCAATTACGTAAGGAATGTTTTGCATATTGGAGGAAAAAAAGTACCCAGACACGTGTATGAGGCGAAAACACACGTGCTCCCAGAACATGCGTGGTTCACTCACCTCTGCAGCTCCCGCACGGTCTCCACGTTGTGCGCGTAAACATCCAGGCCCGACGATGCCACCGTCGCCACAGCCGCGAGGTCACCCCGGAAGTCAGGCGTGAGACACTCCACCAGGAGCTCTGGCTTCCTGAGCATGAGCCGACGTGGAATGAAGAAAAACACATTTTTTCAAGTTCATTTTAATTTTTAAAAATCCATTCTTGGGACTAAAAAGGAAGTGAATGGGATTTGTATCAAAAGGGAAGTGTACTTTTCTTTGAGATGCCGAATGGTCTCTGCGATGTGCGCGGCACCACCATCAGATATGTCTTGGGAAAGAAAATATTTTATTAGCGGTAGGCATTTGCACTGTGTACATGTTCGCGACTTATGCAAGCCAAGGGTGTGTACTTACGTATAAAAAACATACATGTGTGTTTCAGTATAAAAAGTGCAGCAACATTACAAAAATTCTCGCCAGCATCTGCATCACTTAATCGTTTACACATTGTTGTTAAATTCCAAACAATAATTAAGTAATCCCCACTCTTTGGGTCTTTCGGTAAAGCCACGAAGATAGAAAAGTAATTAAAAAAATTCTATCTATGTGGCTTTACCGAAAGACCCAAAGAGTATGAATTCCTGCAGTCACGAAAGCTTCAAGTCAAGATTTAAGTAATCCCGCTTCCTATTTCCTTTAGCAGACCACAATATGAATCCTAATTAATCTCTGCTGATGCGCAATTCATAAAATCAATGCAATGGAATCATATGAGGGTATCGCCGAGTCACTACAACCCAATGCAGACAAAACATTCTAACTTGCATCCATTTGCTATTTCCTATGGAACACTACGGGCTTCACATGCCGACGCATCCATTGCCACGGGCCACATTCGACAACCGCGCTCACCGTCGCGGTCGACCGACGTGAGCACCACGTAGTCGAGCCCCCACGCGGCGATGGCGTGCGCCGTCTTGTGCGGCTCGGCCGGGTCAAGCGGAGGAGGCGCGCGCGCCGTCTTCACCGAGCAGAAGCGGCAGCCCCGTGTGCACGTGTCTCCCATGAGCTGCAACGCACCGCCAGTGCCACCATCGCCGCCGCTGTCAGGAGTTGTGCACTCGCTCGCGGCACCCACATAAACCTCACGCCGGCACGACCTCCCCGTGCTTGTTTTATGTTATTATTTTTTGATACCACCACTCCCGCTGTGATGTTGCGATAATCAACAGAGAAAGATGAAGGTGACAAGAGATGGTGGGAGAAGTGGGAGATGGGGATGTCGATAATGATGACTTATAGATTCAGTAAATTCTAACATAAAAAGCACAAAAGTACCATGATGGTAGCGGTGGCTGTAGCATACTCGCCTCCTCCCCAGCATTCACCAATGTTGGGGCATCGAGCCTCTTCACACACCTAAGAGCAATGGGGGAGGCAGAGAATATACACGGACATGAACATCACTTAAATGCAGATGCCCGATTTGGGTGATTATTTTGTCACTCCAAAGGATGAATTATAATCTAGAGCGGTAAGCTGTAACAAAAAGTGTATTTACCGTATGCAGATTCAGCTCCCGGAGTGTGTTCTTCAATCGGTTGTAGTTTTTTCCGACTGGAATTTTCGTTTTGAGCCATGGAGGCAGCCTTAGCCTTTAAATATAGAATCAGTTTAAAAGAGGGTTAAATGCAAGTAATGTATTTTTTTTGTCATACAATGTAGATGCCGTCTTCTGTGTGCACAAATAGTCTTACCTTTCTCCTTTGCCACGTATCAGATTCCCCTTATATTCATCCCATTTGTTCCGATCTGCCAAGTCCCCTGACAAGAACTCTTTCAGATCGGGCCCGTCCTCCAGCAACGGCTTTAGTTTTCTGGCCTCAACTTTCTCCTTCTGCCCAGCCTTGCAGACATGGATATAAGGAATATAAAAACACGCACTTAAGTAACGTAAACAGGACACTATTGAGATCAATGGCAACTAAAAAAAGAGACCGAATGAGGTCCCAAATGCAAGGTGTCCTTTAGATATCCTGGGAGACCCATGGGAGGGAGCATTAAGGTTAGGTATCTTCTGGAGATCTATGGGGACTCAAACGATACAGTACAGGACTTTAATGAGCAACAGGTGACGTTTTTAGGGCCTCAAGACGGCTGAGGACCTCCTGGAGACCCGTGGGTCCCTCAAGGACCTCCTGAACACCCACAGCAGCATCTATATAAAACCTGAAGATTAATGTGGACCTCGAAATAGACTTTATGGGACTGTAGTTACTTGCTAGGACCTCAAGGATAAGCACCGATAACAAACTCGATGGAGGAACCGGACAAGATATAAACGTATATAACAGACATGACGTCCATGTAATCGCCACAGACATGCAAGATATCTACCAAGTCAGGACCTCAATGGAGGCAGGCACCAGGCGAGGAGCTCAGTGTAAAACAGCAAACCACGGGGGTTAGGGCACCAATACCCGACTGGACCTCAACGTCAACACCAGAGGAGGAGAGGGTGGGGGGACCTCGTGGCAGGTACCGCACAGGAGGGAGAACCCACGAATCCCAGGCAGAGGGATCAGGGCCTGGCTGAATCCCAGGCAGAGAGATCAGGGCCTGGCTGAATCCCAGGCAGAGAGATCAGGGCCTGGCTGAATCCCAGGCAGAGAGATCAGGGCCTGGCTGAATCCCAGGCAGAGAGATCAAGGCCAGGCTGAATCCCAGGCAGAGAGATCAAGGCCAGGCTGAATCCCAGGCAGAGGGATCAGGGCCAGGCTGAATCCCAGGCAGAGGGATCAGGGCTAGGCTGAATCCCAGGCAGAGAGATCAAGGCCAGGCTGAATCTCAGGCAGAGAGATCAGGGCCAGGCTGAATCCCAGGCAGAGAGATCAGGGCCAGGCTGAATCCCAGGCAGAGGGATCAGGGCCTGGCTGAATCCCAGGCAGAGAGATCAGGGCCTGGCTGAGTCCCAGGCAGAGGGATCAGGGCTAGGCTGAGTCCCAGGCAGAGAGATCAGGGCCAAGCTGAATCCCAGGCAGAGGGATCAGGGCCAGGCTGAATCCCAGGCAGAGGGATCAGGGCCTGGCTGAATCCCAGGCAGAGAGATCAAGGCCAGGCTGAATCCCAGGCAGAGAGATCAGGGCCAGGCTGAATCCCAGGCAGAGGGATCAGGGCCTGGCTGAATCCCAGGCAGAGAGATCAAGGCAAGGCTGAATCCCAGGCAGAGAGATCAAGGCAAGGCTGAATCCCAGGCAGAGAGATCAGGGCCAGGCTGAATCCCAGGCAGAGAGATCAGGGCCTGGCTGAATCCCAGGCAGAGGGATCAGGGCCTGACTGAATCCCAGGCAGAGAGATCAAGGCCAGGCTGAATCCCAGGCAGAGAGATCAGGGCCAGGCTGAGTCCCAGGCAGAGGGATCAGGGCCAGGCTGAATCCCAGGCAGAGAGATCAAGGCCAGGCTGAATCCCAGGCAAAGGGATCAGGGCTAGGCTGAATCCCAGGCAGAGGGATCAGGGCCAGGCTGAATCCCAGGCAGAGAGAGAGAGAAAGAGGGGGCCTCGTCTCACCGGCTCTCGGCCGCCCTCCGCCAAGGTCGGCGGGGAGTGCGCGCTGCGCCACGGGCCGCCCAGCGGCCGCCTCGGAGTTGCGGCCAGAAGCAGCAGCAGCTCTCGGCCCAACGCGAACGGGGCCCGCGACGAGGTCGGCATCGTCGCGTGGGACGAGGTGGTTGGTGGTGTTGGTGTCAGGAGAGGTGGCCGCACCGCGCGCTCACAGAAGTGATCCGCCGCCGCCGACGATGACGACTAACACGGGACCCCCGCCAGCCATCAACTCCGCCGTCGACTGCTCGCGACGAGCGCCGCCACGCGATCGGCTCTCGACTTGTCCGGTCTAGCTGGGACGCGTTGACGATGACGATGGTGGTGGTGATGATGGTGGTGGTGATGATGATGGTGGTGACGACGGTGGTGGTGACGATAGTGGTGATGATGGTGGTGGTGCCGCCCCCGGTGGGTGGGGGAGCGGCACCACCAAAACACCGGTGACGATTTTGTTTTAAATCTCAGGTCCACTCAGCCTCAGAATGAGTAACCCGGTGCGGTGTATAGTAAAACATCGCCAAATGGGGAGAGACAAAGGCGGCCGGGCGTGGTGTTGTGCCACCCACCCCCTCGTTGTGCCGTGCCCGGCCTTCATAGGGTGCTCGCTAACAACACTTGCCCCCCACAGTCTGTCCAGGCTACACGGGGGAGCTTTGTCTTTGTACGAGCACTCGACTGCGTTATACCAAATACATTCTCCGTAAATAACAAGAGGGGACTGCTGCTGCTGTTGTTGTTGTTTGGAGGGGTTTAGATCGCGTCAATATAAATGCGGCGTTAAAACCACCGCCACGGCCACATTGGTAGAGGTTTGTCACGTAAACAAAACGTGCAGATCGGTTATTACTTCGTAGCTGTAAACCCACACGGTTTAACCACGTATAATTGTACAGATGAGTTGGGTTTTCAGGTCCATACGGCGTACAGCTGTATCAATAACAGAGGCAACGTGTTTGTGTCTATTTGTGTTTCTCTCCATTGTGATGGGACTTTGTGGGATGAACGTTGAGATTTATGAGGGCACGGGGTGACAAATAAGTTCTGACTTGGTCTGTAATAAGGTAGGTAGGGGTTGACTTTACCGAATTAACCAAATAGAAGAGCAATGTAATACAATAAATACACGATGAGACATTATTGTAAAAAATATAAAGAGTCCATCCTATATGTTAGTGAATTGTTTAATATTTTAGGCAGGAAATTAGTTTTCAAATTTACATTTTTTCTGGGGTGGGGGGGGGGTTCCAGACCCCCTGGAGGATTTGGTCCCCCCCAATGTTGACTGGCTACGGCCTTGGAGTGTAGTGGTGGTGGTGAGTGTAGTGGTGAGTGTAGTGGTGGTGAGTGTAGTGGTAGTGAGTGTAATGGCGGTGAGTGTAGTGGCGGTGAGTGTAATAGTGGCGAGTGTAATGGTGGTGAGTGTAGTAGCGGTGAGTGTAGTGGTGAGTGTAATAGTGGTGAGTGTAATAGTGGTGAGTGTAATGGTGGTGAGTGTAGTAGCGGTGAGTGTAGTGGTGAGTGTAATGGTGGTGAGTGTAATAGTGGTGAGTGTAGTGGTGGTGAGTGTAGTGGCGGTGAGTGTAATAGTGGTGAGTGTAGTGGTGAGAATAATAGTGAGTGTACTAGTGGTGAGTGTAATGGTGGTGAGTGTAATGGTGGTGAGTGTAGTAGTGGTGAGTGTAGTGGTGGTGAGTGTAGTGGTGAGTGTAAGTGGTGAGTGTAATGGTGGTGAGTGTAGTGGTGGTGAGTGTAGTGGTGAGTGTAGTGGTGGTGAGTGTAGTGGTGGTGAGTGTAATAGTGGTGAGTGTAGTGATGGTGAGTGTACTGGTGGTGAGTGTACTGGCGGTGAGTGTAGTGGTGAGTGTAATGGTGGTGAGTGTAGTAGTGGTGAGTGTAATGGTGGTGAGTGTAGTGGTGGTGAGTGTAGTGGTGAGTGTAGTGGTGGTGAGTGTAGTGGTGGTGAGTGTAGTAGCGGTGAGTGTAGTAGCGGTGAGTGTAACGGCGGTGAGTGTACTGGTGGTGAGTGTAGTGGTGAGTGTAGTGGTGAGAATAATAGTGAGTGTACTAGTGGTGAGTGTAATAGTGGTGAGTGTAGTGGTGGTGAGTGTAATGGTGGTGAGTGTAGTGGTGGTGACTGTAGTGGTGAGTGTACTAGTGGTGAGTGTAATGACGGTGAGTGTAGTGGCGGTGAGTGTAGTGGCGGTGAGTGTAATAGTGGTGAGTGTACTGGTGGTGAGTGTAGTGGTGGTGGGTGTAATGGTGGTGAGTGTAGTGGCGGTGAGTGTAGTGGTGAGTGTAATAGTGGTGAGTGTAGTGGTGGTGAGTGTAGTGGTGGTGAGTGTAGTGGTGAGTGTAGTGGTGGTGAGTGTAATGGTGGTGAGTGTAGTGGTGGTGACTGTAGTGGTGAATGTGGTAGTGGTGAGTGTAATGGTGGTGAGTGTAGTGGTGGTGAGTGTAGTGGTGGTGAGTGTAGTGGTGAGTATAGTGGTGAGTGTAATGGTGGTGAGTGTAATAGTGGTGAGTGTAATGGTGGTGAGTGTAGTAGCGGTGAGTGTAGTGGTGAGTGTAGTGGTGGTGAGTGTAGTGGTGAGTGTAGTGGTGGTGAGTGTAGTGGCGGTGAGTGTAGTGGTGAGTGTAGTGGTGGTGAGTGTAGTGGTGGTGAGTGTAGTGGCGGTGAGTGTAGTGGTGAGTGTAATGGTGGTGAGTGTAGTGGTGGTGAGTGTAGTGGTGGCGAGTGTAGTGGTGGTGAGTGTAGTGGTGAGTGTAATAGTGGTGAGTGTAGTAGCGGTGAGTGTAATGGTGGTGAGTGTAGTAGTGGTGAGTGTAGTGGTGGTGAGTGTAGTGGTGAGTGTAATGGTGGTGAGTGTAGTGGTGGTGAGTGTAGTGGCGGTGAGTGTAATAGTGGTGAGTGTAGTGGTGAGAATAATAGTGAGTGTACTAGTGGTGAGTGTAATGGTGGTGAGTGTAGTAGTGGTGAGTGTAGTGGTGGCGAGTGTAGTGGTGAGTGTAAGTGGTGAGTGTAATGGTGGTGAGTGTAGTGGTGGTGAGTGTAGTGGTGAGTGTAGTGGTGGTGAGTGTAGTGGTGGTGAGTGTACTGGCGGTGAGTGTAGTGGTGAGTGTAATGGTGGTGAGTGTAATGGTGGTGAGTGTAGTGGTGGTGAGTGTAGTGGTGAGTGTAGTAGTGGTGAGTGTAGTGGTGGTGAGTGTAGTGGTGGTGAGTGTAGTAGCGGTGAGTGTAGTAGCGGTGAGTGTAACGGCGGTGAGTGTACTGGTGGTGAGTGTAGTGGTGAGTGTAGTGGTGAGAATAATAGTGAGTGTACTAGTGGTGAGTGTAATAGTGGTGAGTGTAGTAGCGGTGAGTGTAACGGCGGTGAGTGTACTAGTGGTGAGTGTAATGACGGTGAGTGTAATAGTGGTGAGTGTAATAGTGGTGAGTGTAGTGGCGGTGAGTGTAGTGGTGCGTGTAATAGTGGTGAGTGTAGTGGTGGTGAGTGTAATGGTGGTGAGTGTAGTGGTGGTGACTGTAGTGGTGAATGTGGTAGTGGTGAGTGTAATGGTGGTGAGTGTAGTGGTGGTGAGTGTAGTGGTGGTGAGTGTAGTGGTGAGTATAGTGGTGAGTGTAATGGTGGTGAGTGTAATAGTGGTGAGTGTAATGGTGGTGAGTGTAGTAGCGGTGAGTGTAGTGGTGAGTGTAGTGGTGGTGAGTGTAGTGGTGAGTGTAGTGGTGGTGAGTGTAGTGGCGGTGAGTGTAGTGGTGAGTGTAGTGGTGGTGAGTGTAGTGGTGGTGAGTGTAGTGGCGGTGAGTGTAGTGGTGAGTGTAATGGTGGTGAGTGTAGTGGTGGTGAGTGTAGTGGTGGCGCGTGTAGTGGTGGTGAGTGTAGTGGTGAGTGTAATAGTGGTGAGTGTAGTAGCGGTGAGTGTAATGGTGGTGAGTGTAGTAGTGGTGAGTGTAGTGGTGGTGAGTGTAGTGGTGAGTGTAAGTGGTGAGTGTAATGGTGGTGAGTGTAGTGGTGGTGAGTGTAGTTGCGGTGAGTGTAATAGTGGTGAGTGTAGTGGTGAGAATAATAGTGAGTGTACTAGTGGTGAGTGTAATGGTGGTGAGTGTAGTAGTGGTGAGTGTAGTGGTGGCGAGTGTAGTGGTGAGTGTAAGTGGTGAGTGTAATGGTGGTGAGTTTAGTGGTGGTGAGTGTAGTGGTGAGTGTAGTGGTGGTGAGTGTAGTGGTGGTGAGTGTAGTGGTGGTGAGTGTACTGGCGGTGAGTGTAGTGGTGAGTGTAATGGTGGTGAGTGTAATGGTGGTGAATGTAGTGGTGGTGAGTGTAGTGGTGAGTGTAGTGGTGGTGAGTGTAGTGGTGGTGAGTGTAGTGGTGGTGAGTGTAGTAGCGGTGAGTGTAGTAGCGGTGAGTGTAACGGCGGTGAGTGTACTGGTGGTGAGTGTAGTGGTGAGTGTAGTGGTGAGAATAATAGTGAGTGTACTAGTGGTGAGTGTAATAGTGGTGAGTGTAGTAGCGGTGAGTGTAACGGCGGTGAGTGTACTAGTGGTGAGTGTAATGACGGTGAGTGTAGTGGCGGTGAGTGTAATAGTGGTGAGTGTAATAGTGGTGAGTGTAGTGGCGGTGAGTGTAGTGGTGCGTGTAATAGTGGTGAGTGTAATGGTGGTGAGTGTACTGGCGGTGAGTGTAGTGGCGGTGAGTGTAATGGTGGTGAGTGTAATGGTGGTGAGTGTAGTGGTGGTGAGTGTAGTGGTGAGTGTAGTGGTGGTGAGTGTAATGGTGGTGAGTGTAGTGGTGGTGACTGTAGTGGTGAATGTAGTAGTGGTGAGTGTAATGGTGGTGAGTGTAGTGGTGGTGAGTGTAGTGGTGGTGAGTGTAGTGGTGGTGAGTGTAGTGGTGAGTGTAATGGTGGTGAGTGTAATAGTGGTGAGTGTAATGGTGGTGAGTGTAGTAGCGGTGAGTGTAGTGGTGAGTGTAGTGGTGGTGAGTGTAGTGGTGAGTGTAGTGGTGGTGAGTGTAGTGGTGGTGAGTGTAGTGGTGAGTGTAATGGTGGTGAGTGTAATAGTGGTGAGTGTAATGGTGGTGAGTGTAGTAGCGGTGAGTGTAGTGGTGAGTGTAGTGGTGGTGAGTGTAGTGGTGAGTGTAGTGGTGGTGAGTGTAGTGGTGGTGAGTGTAGTGGCGGTGAGTGTAGTGGTGAGTGTAGTGGTGGTGAGTGTAGTGGTGGTGAGTGTAGTGGCGGTGAGTGTAGTGGTGAGTGTAATGGTGGCGAGTGTAATGGTGGTGAGTGTAGTGGTGGTGAGTGTAGTGGCGGTGAGTGTAGTGGTGAGTGTAGTGGTGGTGACGTAGTGGTGGTGAGTGTAGTGGCGGTGAGTG